CCTAATTCGAACCGCTAGCAATTGACATTTTTCTGGAAGTTGCTCAAGAATCTTCTATATTAAATATCTTGCCATCGCTTGACATTAAAAGAGCTTCATGTATTTACATTATGATGATACTTTGTCGCATAATCTTGACCAAGATTAATATTATTAAGACTACTAACTAATACATGAAGAATCTTATAAAAAATTAATAATAAAACGTACTGCCTAATTAGCTGCATGTCTGCAAGAAAACACACGTGGTGGTATCTTATAAGTTAAGTTTTTTTTTTTAATTTCTCTTTAATATCAAGATCGAGGGGCCTCTTGTGTTACTCTGATTGTTTGATCATGAATGATTAATTATTAAGAATGACCACAATTAGCATAATGATATTTATGCAGCAAAATCACTTTGGTTTTTTTTTTTTTAGCAATGAAGGACACTCACGTCTTATAGATTCAAAAAAAAAAAAAAATCACTCTGATTCATAGCTTATAGTCAGTTTTGATATAGTGAGTGTTGCTGTTGCATGAAATTAAATTTAATCTATAAACGAATTAAGGTCAGTCAATCACTGAACAACTTATTTATACGATTGTCGACCTGAATCCTCAATAAAAGGAGGAAGACAGTGTGAAACCATGAATTACATATAATTGCAAACATTTTAGAAAAGAAATGCTTACCGTACTTGTTGCAACATTTAGAAGATAATATTAGGTCTTTAACTGATAGTTTAATTTTGTGTGTGTGTGTGTGTGTTTTTTTTTTTTTATAATAAAAGTAGAGCAAAAATTAGTATAAAGTGCTCATTAATTAACACTTAACAGTCTAGCTGAAGACTGTAATAGTTACTCATGTTCATATATAAATAAATTATTATCTTGTTTAAAAAAAAGAATAATTGCATATAAACCTTATTACTCTTTCCAATAAGAGTAATGTCAGAAACAATAAATTTATTCAAAGATAATGATTAAGAATCATTTCTCAATTTCAATTACACTAAGAAATTTCCCTTACTACTATAAGAAGAGGTTAGGTGGTGGAGCTAGCTTTTCGCATATCTTCTATCTAGGTTATAATCACAGTTTTAACTTCAATACAATTGACTTTTGATCATTATGGAGTGACTACTTTTTCAACAGCAGGTGAAAAACTAGCTTAATTATAAATTACTCAAAGGTCGATAACTCTATATGTATACCATCACTTAAAGAAAAAAAAAAAGAGAACCAAAAAAAAAAAACCCTAATCTTCCTTATCTCTAGAACCTTAATTACTGATATTTTGCGCATTTATATTAAGTTAATAACATAAAATAGTCAATCCCTTGTTAGAAAAGGAACGAAGTCCACCTACTCATTAAGGAAATAATATCATTTTTTCTACCTCATTTCTTCAATGAGGTGTGTTGTAATTGTAAAGGTCTTAACTTCCTCAACTCTATGACTACATACATGTCCAATAATCTCAAAGTTATTATTGGCAAGTAAATGTAGCTTTCATTAATTTGGAAGAACGAAAGAGGTATAATCCAATACAAACTTAATTATATCACAATAAATATACTCTATAGATATGATAAATTCCAATAACATGGTGGATCATAATTCATGAAGTCTTTGATGCAGATGAAACCAATGGCACCATACAATCAGCAGAAATGTTATTGCTGCGAAATTCTGTCACTGTTTCCTTAGGTTATAATTGAATGATGTTGGATTAAATCCATATACCGTAGAGACCTTCACATCAAATTATTGAGAATTATACGAAAGCGGAAGCGTACCTTAATCTGAAGTGGCAAGAACATCAATCCGGTTTGGCCTTCCAGATGATTCCGTCAAGCCCTTGCGGGAACCTCTGACAAATGGGGAGTCGAGATTTTGGCGCTCATCTGAGGACCACAACCAATATATAATAGGGTTTCCGGTTCCACCCATCACATAACAGGAAACTGGGCCTTAGGGTTTCTACACAATATTGGGCCACACCTTATAACTTAATTATTATAATTAGCCCAAACTTTAGTTGATTTAATTAGATCACTGGGCTAGTATTTTATGATAGCTTAACATACAATTATATATATTTGTGTATAAAGTCCACATAGATCTTACAAATGCAAGTCAATTTAGTTGGAAAAAAAAAGTTAAGAACGAAGAGCGGGGTCAGCTATGTATGTATAGAGAAAATTAAAATTAAGCAGATACTCCTTTTCTACGCTTCTACTTTTAGTTAAAATAGAAAAAACTCACAAAGGACTAGCCATTGTAACACTTAAGTCTTTCTTTAAGCTATATAGCTACATTCTTATTCCTGAAATGATGACACAGTTTGGATTTTTGCTTTTTTTTTTTTTTACAATTTATATTAAAAGTGAAAATTTAACAAATGAAATATATTTTGGTGTTGAATTTGAGTTTGGATTAAAGTAGAAGTTAATGTCGAAGCAGTTATAAAGCCATGGTCTCAAAAGATAAGCAGTGCTAGAAGAAAAGAAGACAAAAAAAAACATGCATACAAGGAAGAAATCCTTGGAAGCACAAACCTTAATAAATTCATTTCGTGACACAAGAAGTACTATGTTTCCCAATTTGTTTCTCAAATCCTTAAAACATTTACCCAAAATCATTTTCTTCGATAAGGTTTTCAGATATGTTTTGCTCTACCTGGGTGTGATTTGCACTTAATGTGATCTTTCCTTATTACAATTTTCAATATTGAACATGATCTGGCCCTCCTCCCTAATTAGGGCTCGCATTTTCAACAATGAAATACTTTCTTCATAAGGATTTATGTAATTTACTATGTTAAAAGTGAATACAATAAAATGGATTGATTATTTTTTGTTTTATAAAGTCAGTTTAACAGAATAAATTTATTTCTTGAGTGTCATAATGTACATATTTAATAGGAAAGAAATGATGCCTTTCTTCTCTTACTTTGGGAGGAAACTCCAAATGCCATTATTAGCCAAACGGAATGTTTCTGTATTGATTCTTTTCCCCTTTCCCGTGTGCCTAAGCATGAAATTAATAACCAATAAATGATATAATCGAAAGTACCAAAACCTTAGAAAAGGACAATTTCAAACAAATTAGTAGGGGTTAGTGTTGCGTAAGATTCACACAAAAACTGGAATTTTTTTAACATTCTATTTCCACTTTTTTTTTAATTATAAAAATTAAATCAAACGAACATAAGCAATATATATATATATATATATATATCTCAACAGAAATGCAGCTAAAAATGCCACCTCTCTATACAACTCATCACCTACTCGTTGATTTTTAGGATGCATTGCTAATTTCCCTATTTTTATTCAAGCTCAGAAACAATCTTAAAATCAAAAGAGCTGCCAGATTTCCTTGAATTGGAGACAGTGTCACTATCTTAAGGGGTTTTTTTCTGGAAAAAAAAAAAAAACAATTCCATACATCCGGATATCTGTATTGTAAGATAAATATTTTATACTCACCTTATGAAAAAATCTAATATCTTAAAAAATAGCAGAAATTAAAAAATTGCCTCGAAGCTGAATATTACTTTACAGATCAAGACCAACGAACACAGATTAATCTCTCGACGGTGTTGCATGAAGCAGTATGCATTGTTATATTAGCGAAGGTAGCCCTTAATTATCAATGAGCAGTTTAATTATCAATCTGTATGTCCATTCATAAATGTCGTTGTTCTTTGTTCTTTTTGGACGTTGATTTATTAATTCTTAAACCTTAGGTTTCCTAACTAATTGGGGTCCCTCTTATCATTGAGAATCCTTGTACGTCACAGTTTTGACATTAAGCTTTTAGTCAACTCTCTCTCTCTCTCTCTCTCTCATACACACACTATAAACGGAGCTCACACAGGTAATTTTAACTTTTTTGGAGTAACTGATCACAAAATAATTCCAAATAGATACATATCACGTTCAAATTAATTCTTACTGAAACAATGTAAAATCTTTTTTAATTGTGAAATAAAACTTCTGCCAACGAGTATTTTTTAACTATTGGCCTTTGTTACATGCATATGTTCATGCAAGAATCAATTCAAATGCTGATTATCGTTAAGTTGATGTGTTTTTATCGATTAGATGAAGCGCAGTTGGTACAAATATATAATTTATTGAAATTGATCATACCCCACAAATATAATTTTCTATTAGTTTAATTTCCTAGTTACTACTATATATTGATGTGAAGATCTATTAATTATATATAAATAAAGTAGTGGTAGGAGTCTAAGATAAAAACTAACTGAAAGTTATGCTTTTTTTCATGAGAGCAGTTGAGTGATTATAAGGTCCATTATAATGATCGATCGATCAAATGGATGATTCGGTCAAGCAGCAGCCACAATCACATTTACTTAACCCTCTTAAAATAAAAACTAACTCTCGAAGCTGATTCTCATGGATATTGGCTAGTGATTCTTAAAATAAGAAAGAAAATTTCAATTTTGCTTGTAAATGTATGTTGAACTCAGTCAGTTCTCAAGAATACTTTTTCCATTTTCCTTGAAAATTAAATATTGCTACTCAATTCATCGATAATCGATCGAAATTTCTTAGAAATGAGACAAAAAATCAAAACTTGGGACTTTTTACCATTTGTTTGGCCGTTTAAATTTGTTAATTTTCTACTTCTTTTCTTCTTCTTTAATTTTTCCTGTCTTTGAGTGTTCTTACACTGTAATGTCCTTTAGTCATCAATTTAGTAGAAGACAACATCCTTCAAGTTCCTCCCAAAATAGAAGAAGACAACATGCAATGACCTAATAAACAGTTTAATGATCAAAGCCTTACTATCTTTCTTAACCAGAAAGAAAAGAATTTATGTTTTATATATTAAAAAGAAGGGGCGTTCATTTCATACACGTCTAAGTGTATTTGGTACGCAGTTTATTTCATGAGATCAATTATTTATGTAACAAAAATATGCACCAAAAAGGCAATTGATCATGGTAGAAAATCAATAGGAAAAGAAGAAATAAACCATTGGCTTTTAATACCTTTGCATTAATTAATTACTCAGAATCTTTATGTACAAAAAAACTCACCACAAACTAACATGTAGCTGGGAGAATAATGTCATATATATATGTATATGATCGTAAATCGTATACTTTATGCGTAAAAAACTATGACAATACTTCTATATACTATCAAGACAACCCAAGAGGAAAAAAGAAAATGGTGGAGGAAGGGTTTAATAAAAACCTCACAAATTATAAAAATATGTATTAATTATATATAAATTATTAAGCAAGCTCATGAAATAAAGGATCATCAAGTAGGAGTTCAGGCCAAATGGACGATGGTGATGATGGACCACCTTCATAACTCGACGCGCTGCAATCGTCACCGCCGGTGTTTGTGACCGGTGGAATGGCCGGAGGAGGAGAGGAGGTGGCCGGAGATAAGTCGTCGGAGGTCGGAAGCCGCCACGGCGAAGTCGGTGAATTTTCACCTTGAGTACTACAAAGGACTGAAAAGTTAGAGGTTTGAACCATATTATCCTTACTGATCAGACAAGACTCCAAATCAGGCAAATGAGAGAAAGGGATGGAATCATGGATTGATGGTTGAATGGTAGTAGTAGAGTTATTATTGGAAGTATTCATGAAAGATGATGGAATATTATTGATTGAAGAAGGTTCCATTAACAATGGAAGAGTACTATCTTTTGAGAGTGAGTTTAGGAGATCGAAAGTATCAAAATCATTTGGGATGTTGACATTTGAAGGGCTAATAATATTGTTATTAGAGAAAGCTGCAGGTGACATTGATGATGGAGGTTGAAGGAGATATTGCAAGTATTGAAACTTAGCCATTTGAGCTGCAGCTTCGTTCTGCAATCTAACAGCTTGTTTCTCCCATGAATTGTGTTCCATGAGTTCCTTAAGGTTAGCCAGAGCTATGAGATGAGGTATACTTGAAAAGATATCGGTTCGAGGACGATGAGTCATGGGATCAAATCCCATCTGAATCAGCTTCTTCTTCAGATGAGTATTCCAGAAATTCTTTATCTCATTGTCTGTCCTTCCAGGAAGATGTGTAGCAATAGTAGACCACCTGATGAGTTGACAAAAATACCAAAGAGATAGTAAATGTTAATAATGTGAACATGAAGAAAGTTGATGTATCTGATCGTCACAGGAAAATAGCCTACTCTGTTAAACTACTTTTTTCGTAACGAACGTAGTACTATAAAAGAGTCATGATGAATTATACTTGTTTCCAAGGACAGAGTGGAGATTGAGGATGGTTTGTTCTTCTTCGGGGGTGAATTTTCCTCTCTTGATATCAGGTCTTAGATAATTTGTCCAACGAAGTCTACAACTTTTTCCACATCTATTAAGACCTGGAGGCCGAAATTCATCACCATCATCAAAAAAAAAAAAAAAAAACTTGATCGGAATGTGAAGTTTTATACAAAATATATATAGAGAAATGACCATGATTAATATGTTAAATACCTGCAAGTTTAGGGAGGGCTCTCCAGCTGCCATGGCCATTCTTTTTTATGTAGTTGATGAGTTTATCATCTTCTTCAGAAGTCCAAGGGCCTTTCTTGAGGCCACTCTCATCACAGCAAGGCGACCTCCCCATGGTGATTGATTGATTAGTTTCTTCCTCTTTTTTTCTTTTTTTTTTGTGTTATTATTGTTTCCTGTGATTTGGCTGCCTCCCTCCAATCCTACCAAAAGGCTTCATTATTTATAACACTACGCACCTTCTTTGCCTTGTTTGTCCTCATGTTGAAGACCAATGAAGTATGACTTCTGTGGGATCCCACTTTTTGTCTGAAGCCTCCAAGTTGATATGACAGATCTACCCTCTCCTCTCATTAGTTTCATGGAATAGTTCTTAGTTAACAAGTTCATATAATGGAGCTAATTACAATGTTAATAAGTGAACTGTGTCAATAGTTTCTCAACTTCATCTTGTAAGTTGCTTGGTTACTCTAAGTTAGAATTTATTTATTTTTATTTTAGTCCATCAACTTTACAATTGATTATAAGACTCCATTATACCTGTAAAAATTAATTAAGAAATACCCATGCATATACAGGTGCGTGGACAAATGCTTTAAATTCAGAAGGATCTTGGGAAATTGACTGATTTCAATTTTCACTAATTATTTCAATTTGGTCATACATGAATCGCGTTATATACAGAGATAAATTCCGCTAAATTGAAATTTGTTCAACCTTGGGAAATATGATCTAAACTTAGGGTATGATTAGAAAAATGTACCCATCATGGGAGATGTTACAAACCTAACCCTGAACATTATTCAGGATTTCAAGACTTTTCCATTATCCTTTGATTCAAATTAGTCATTTCATATCCTTAATTTATGTGGTTGAATATGTACTTTCGTCTTCCTTTCTGAGGAATTCATGTACATGGCTGAATCTCAATTCCGGGGCCTCTAAATTACTGAAAATTTGAGGTCCAAGATTCAATCAAAATAATACATTTTATGAACTATGGACTATTTTTTGGATCGATTGGAGTATTATCCATTAGTTTTGTGACAAAATATTGATTTCCTTTCAAATTCTGAATTCTCTTTCTTAAACTTTGTGACATTAATTTGTGATGGAGATTTATCTGGAGGAGAAAACTCGACATAGAGCCCAATAAGTAAGATAAGACCTATCTGAACTTAAAAGCTCAAGTTAATGGGTTCTGAGACCACCTTATTTATTAACTGATTCACATGTCCTCATGCCTCCGATGTAGGATTCATAATCCTTACCACATGACTCTCAACAATTTGATACTATTTGACAAGGATAGAAACTGTATGAAACCAACACCAGTTGCGAGGGTTTGTCGCGTTAATAAAGAATGACTCTTTGGAGTTCTTCTCTATTTCAATGTCTGGTCAAAATATTTACAAGTTGTACTATATATTTAGGAGTTGAGAAGGATGCGTAGCCAATTAAACAATTTTCTTATATTAAATGGAATTATAGGATGTACATTTGCTTAGAGAGACAAGAAATATATATATATATATATATATATATATTTGGAAAAATTCACTTTATGTACCCTAAGAATAGGAAGTTTTCAAATTATGTACCTTAAGAATTGGTCTTCTAAATTATGTACTTTATGTTTGAATTTTGTTGTTTTAAGTACTTTTTCAAGGGCAAAATAGAAAACTAACAAATTTTTGTCCTAACCTATTTCGTTTTTGCCCCTAAACTTATGGAAAAGAGCAAAGTACACCATAAATTTTATGGATTTTACACAAATCTATCTTTCAGTCAGATTTCAGCAAATTGAACCTAGATTTTTAGTCAAAAATTTCCCATGACTTCCAGTGGTATATTGTTTTTGACGTACATATTGCTTTTATTCTAACGAATTTTTCCTTATTATTAATTTTTTTTATATTTTTAAATGTCGTTTTGCATGATTATTTTTTAAAAAAATATTTATAGTCATTTTTTGTACTTTTTGTTCAAGGTCTTGGTACTTTGATGCATTTCTAGAAATTATACTTATTTTTTTTAAATTTTATTTTTATTTGCCTAAAATATAAGGAAAATATAGCTAAAATAATAAAAATAAACTCGTATTCCTTTTAATATATATATTTTTTTATTTTAGCTATTTTTTCTTATTATAATTTATATTTATATTTTAGACAAAATCTAAAAAAATTATGTGTTACTAGAAATGCATCAAAGTGCGAAAAACTTGAACAAAACAGTATCAAAAGAAAAGGACGAACTAGAAGAATATTTTTAAAATAATCATACAAAAAGACAAATAAAAATATAAATAAAAGTACTAATAAAGAAAAATGCTTTATAATAAAAAAATATGTACGTCAAATATAATAAGCGCCGGAACTTATAGGAAATTTTTAACTAAAAATCTAGGTGCAATTTTCTGAAATCTTATAAAAAGATAAATTTTTGTAAAACATCAATAAAATTAATGGTGCAATTTGATCTCGTTCAGAAGTTTGGGGGCAACAACGAAGTAGGTTAGGAAAAAAATTTGTTAATTTCAAACATAAGGTACATAATTTGGGGAGACCAATTCTTAGGGTATATAATTTGGAAACCCCTTATTCATAGGGTATATAAAGTAGATTCTTCCTTCTTCTTTTTTTTTTTAGATAATGAGATATTGACCTTGATAATCAAGGTCTACAAGACTACGTGCTGACATTTTAGCTTTGCAAATCGATGTAATTTTGTATAATTCATAACTAAGGAAACTTATTTTATTCAATAGTTGAACATATACTAAATCTCCAGTGATTTAGTTGGTTTCATTTTGGATAAATGAAATCCTACTGTCAATTTTAAGTTTCCCTTTCAACAAAAATACATAAATTGCTTGATTTTCTTCTGTTTCCAGTCGATTAATTACACAGTTCGAATTGCATCCAAAATAAGTGAAATCATAGCAAAATCGCTTAATGATAGGTTACTCCCAAACCGAGTTTTCAATTTTCAGAATTAAACAAGATTCCTCGGGGCAGTATTGAGACTTGAAACTTCAACTCAAACAGGACAAATATTGAAATATCATCACAACGTCATCATATGAATGTCGGAAGAGGGGGAAAAAATTATTAAGTTTTTGAGAAACAATCTATTTAAAAATACAAAAAACAGAAGTCGTCGTAGGTGGTAATGAACAGGTGGCGGCTGCTGGAAGGCTGGAGGAAAACATCCCATGCACGCAAAAACTTTTAGTTTCTATGTGTCGTCACTAATCGCAATTTGCATGGCTCTAAGAATTTAAACCTCTTTTTTTTTTTTTTTGAAACAATAGTAACTAATGTCAAGTACTCCCTCCAGTCCTTAAAAATGTTTCATAACAATCAAGAGAATGTAGAAATATATTTTTAAAATTTTTTTATCAATTAAAAATACGTATTAAATGAAACTTATGACAAAATCAAAATATTTTATATTAAGGACCAGAGAGAGCAGTAATAATTTACATGAGAAAATTATTTACGTAGTACGTAATAGCCATGATGCTCATATGGGTCCGATTCATATGAAATGCACATGCTCCACAGATATTAAAAACAAAATTACAGTAATTAATGCACAAATTGTGGGGTAATTCTAACAATTTTCACTAAAATCTAAGAACAATTAGACAAAACACATGAGATCAACCACATTAATGGGTTATAACTTATAAAAGATGTAATATGTACTTGAATACGTACGTACCTTTTCGAACGTAGAGTACCAATAATGTCCGTCCCATGATTGGAGCTATCAACTGGCAGTGGCGATATGATAGTGAAATCGACAGAATCCGGCTAAACTAGTCCGGCAGCCGGCGGCTTTCCGGCAATGATAAGCTTGTTGATCGATATATAGAGTTAGGGAAGGCTAAAAAATCGCGGTATTAGCGGTATTAGTTTTGATTATATCTGAATGGAAAAAAAGAAAGTTTGTTAAACTGTTTTTAATTTTTTTTTTTTTTTTGGTAAAAGGCAAATTATTTCATCAACTCCAACCTGTAATATTTACAATGCTATCATGACTATTACATTGTAAAATTAAACAAGATTAATAGCTTGAAAATATCGTATAACATCGTTACTACCCTTTCTAAAAAAAATTTGGGACCTCCATTTGATCTCAAGCTTTAACTGTTCAAACAGTGCTACTTCATCCTTTGCCTCCTTTTTTTATTTTTCGTTTTCGTGCATTACTTTCAGCCCATATATAGTAAACCAATGCATTTAAAACAGCATAAAAGAACTTCTTCTTCAATCTTCTTGTGCAAGCATTATTCTCCCTCCGTCCCATAATCATCGTTTAGTTTGGATTTCATTTCTAGTTCAAATTATATTAAAAGTGAAATCTTAAACTGGACAATAATTTTGGGACATGAGTATATTTTAAGCAATTTGCGAATTTTTATGTCAACTTTATAAATGTCTACATATGGGAAAGATCTTTGCTCGGTCGGATGAATTTCTTTCTTTCTAACAACCGCTAGTGAAGTTTGTTTCCATGCTCGATGACAGGGACTTTAACTTTCTTTGCAGGTGGAAACTAGATCTGCTTTAGAGACCGGATTAATTAGAACTCGAGCGTATTAATGACTAAACCTTGAACTTTAATAGATTATTTTGGTAGAAGCGCAGATTATATTGGTCTGTAACTTCTCATAATAAGTTTAAAGTTAGATCATATAGTTAATAGTTTGTACCGGGAAAAAAAAAATTAAAATATAGTGATAAATATATTAGACCAGTTTAATTATAACCTGAGCTCGAATCTGCATTATGATGACTAAAAGACTTGTTTGGAGAGTTCTCATTGTCTAAAGGGGACTTATGGGATTCGAATCTATATTAGACGAAATACTTATTTCAAACACTGCGTGTATAACATACCAAAATAAATTAATGCCAAAGAGTAAGTAATAGGTTTAATTAGAGCAGGTGATTTGCTATATCTAACAAACAATGTTTGTTTTTTATGTCGAATTCATTTTACTTGGTTGGAATTGACTGTGGAATGGTCTCATAATTAGTGACGATAATTTTGTTGATTAGAATTAGATGCAACTAGAGACGATAATGAGATGGGTGGAACACAATATTGTAGATTCTTAGCATAACACAACTTATTATAATGGGAGTAAATGCCTTAAATCTAAAAGCCTATCGACTAAGGG